GAGGCCGACCTCCCTGCGCCTACCCGGGCTCCCTTCCGTGAAACCCCTCAGGAAAAACAAAAAAAAACAACAAAAAAAACCCCGCCTTTTTCTCACACGCGTGTGGAAAAGAACTGCGGCCTCAATTTTTTTCTTCGTGAATCAACTGCGGCTAGGATTTGAGATGGTGTGTTTTGTTTGGCCGCTGCCACAGGCACAAAGGCAGCTGTGAGAGGGAAGGAGTTGCTCTAACTCCACCCGCGAGCTCTCAGTTTATGATTTATTCCTGCTTCTCCCTGCATCATACCAGAGAGCGCTAGAAATAGGGATGCACCTGGCTGGTAGACTGGAGCCTAAAGCGACGTGGGAAGGGAGTGATTTTCATGTACTGTTGGTTACACAATGGAGTCTGCTGTTGGGGACGTGTTAGTGCCTGCTGGAGACTTTCTCCAGTTCTCCCACTAACATTAAGCTGACAAAACATTTTCCCTTTGTAATAGTTGCATTTATGGCAAGAAGTTTTCTTGACAAAGTTGTAACCATATAGTGTTTTTTTTTTTTTTTTCATGTTTTCAGTAAATCAGCAAAACAACTTCCCTGCTTTTAAAAACACTAATGTCAGTCAAGCATTATCACATCAGGTTTCCTAGTATTCTGAGTCCCTATTCTCTAGTCCGATTAAAAAAAAAACTTGCTTCCCTCTACAGTGCTTTCATCTCATCCCCCAGTCCTCATCCTGTCTGCAATGCTGATGCACGTTCCTAGCAGCATTGCTGGTGCTGCCCAGCTGCAGGGAGTGCTGCCGGATAAACACCACTGGTCAGCTGCAGCAGGCGCTTCAGTTTGGGTACGGCCAGCCTTCCTGAAGGAAGGAAACCATGCATGGGAGTCAGAGGGAAAAATCCCTGAATTAAACAGGGTGGTTTCATCTGCCAAGAAACAGAGCAGCTGTGGCAGAGAATGGCTCGTTCGACAGTTTGTAGTGTTACTTCTAGTCAACTAGACCAAACTATCTCTGCCACAGTTCTGCTCCCAGTAGTTTTTCTAGTACTCACATGCTTGTCTTTAACCTTATGAACCAATGATCAAAACTCCTGCATGAATTGAATCACAGAAAGTAATATTTCCCTTAGTTTTATATGCCACTGATCTTACAAGGCATCGTGTTTATTTTTAATCCACCTTCTGTTGAAACATTGCAATATGCGAGGTTTCAGAGGCCTAGTGGTTTGGGCCAATAATTCTGTTATACAAGCTACAAAGACCTTTGTGATCAATGGCACCGCAGAATTACGTTGAAAGTTTGGGGTTGTTTATAATGGGAAGTCTCAGAAAAGGAGAAGTTTAAGTCCCATTGTTGGGCTTAGCTCAACTTTTATTCAAGCTACAAAAACGTACAGTGCTGCTATTTCAAAGGACACCCACAGCATGTTGAGTGGGTTCGAGTCTGTTCAGAAGTGATTTGTGAATTGCTCATGTCCCACTGCAGACCCACAGGTTAATCACATTGTCCTGTTTCTCAGTGTATTTTTGGTTATTTATGATGATTGGCAAAACATTATAATAATATAAAACCATTTCAGAGTAAATACAGAAAAAATGTTTTTCCACTTGATTTATTTTCATAATAAACCAATTAAAAATACAAAAGACAAGGACTCAAGGTTCAGAGGACTTCATCATTTAAAAATTTGTCTTTAAATACAAATTCACTCTGTACTATGAATACATATAACATTAGACCTCTAAACATAATGATCTTATTTGCATCTATCAAAAATTTGTATGGAAACAAATTAGCTGAAAAAAACTTCCTTGTAACATTGAATGTACATTATTTACAAGCAAAAAAAAAAAAGAACTCTTAGCAGTATTAATCTCAAAATGCCTGCATAAATTGTATATATTTTATTTCCCTCCCCCCCTTACAAAATAATCTGAAATAGAAAGCAAGATTGTTAAGCTTCATAGCTGCAAAATGCCATGAATCGTTTGCACCTGTAGTGATGCTGTTAGCTTCTGTAATTAAATATATCTGATGTTTTCATATAAAATATAGACATGGCATTGTCCATTACTGGAATAAATGTTTTGTGTACTCTCAATAGGAGTGTATATTCCATTTTGCACACACAAGAGCTTGTGCTGCAAAAAAAAAAAACCAAAAAAAAAAAAAAGAAAAAAAAGCAAGAGGATACCTGGTTATCCAAGTCTAAAACTGGTGTAAATTCACTGGTATGAAACAGATACTTGATCATAAAAATTCATACACATGGAATGAAAATGTCCCACACTAAAAGTAACTGTTGCTTCAAAAAGTGATACACATACAGATTAAACAGAAAAGGTTATAATAACGTTACTGCAATGTAAATCGGTAACAGATTGAAAACATACAGTAAGAAAGAAGTTTGGCCAACAACCTCAGGAGAAAGTCTTCACAGGGTAAAAAGCATGTTCCTTCATGCCTGTATTCTGAAGCATGAGTAATAGATAATTTTATTTATATGATAACATTTAGCAATTAACAGAAAATCAAAATCCATTCTAAACCATGAATGCTAACAATTAACTGCAGAAATTAAGTAGCTTTGCAACATCTTGCTTGAGAATCAAATCATATATACATAACTGAAAAGGTCCCATCACATTTATGAAAATAATCATCCACAGGGTCTTTTTTTTAAAAAAAATTATTAATATGAATTGGGTTCTAATGGCTCATTTTCTTGCTTCACTTGCACATTAGATGGGAAACCATTCGAACTAGACACCACCATCACAAACGGTTGCTGCTGGAATCTCTGCTCCGACTGCTCAGTATCATCTAATTTGTCACTGTCGTCTTCTTTTACCACCCCTTGTACGCCAACCTGTTTCGTTTCTGGTGCTTTAATGACCGAAGTGATCACTGTGCCCGATGGATGAGCTACCACCTGTGAGCTGCTAGGCGAAAACGTTACCACGGGGGTAGTGGCACTGAAGGATGGAGACGAAGCCATGTTGACTGTTCCATTGCAAATTGTCTGCACGCTGCTGGTGAGCACCTGCTGAACTTGTGATGGGCTCAGCACAATTGAGGAAGGAGGCGAGACTGGCTTCTGAGACTGTAGCATGACGTTTTCTTTAAGAACCGTCATGGGTTGTGAAGTAGGAATGGCTTGTAAGATGAATTTTTGGGGCGTTGTTGCTGAGGCTGGATCTGTGCTGGCTATCACTGTAGTAAGAGGCACTGTCTGGAGTGTTACAGTATGCAGCTGCTGATTTCCAGGAGAAACAACCACTGGAACTTGGGTTGGAGTCTGTAAAGTCCTATTAAGATTTAAAAAAGATTATAGTCAGAACACTTCCACGCTGAGTTTTGAAATGACTTTCTACTGAAAAATCACTTGGCATCATAAACATTTCATTTACCCAACGGTTCCAAAAGAGGAAGCAGTCGCTCTCCTAATAAAACAAGAGCTGGACCTGACCCCTGAATTCAGCACCACAGTTCCCAAAGGAAAGGTACTGTGCATGAACAACAGTACCATCGCCAAACCAAACAGCCTGCCTTTGAGACCTTCAGTAGTTCAGCAGAAAACCTGGGAATCGCATCGAAGATCTCCTTCTCGAGCATGACCCAACATCATGAACGTGACCCACTACACATCTGCTGTATCAATTTCACAAGGTACCCAGAGTAATTCGTAACTCATGAGCCTAAATAATTCCTAAGTCAGGCCACAATTCTCCTGCCATCTCTATATACATTTACCTATATGCAAAAGTATCTGCACTGTAACAGTGGGTCTGGTCAGGACCTTCTCAGACTCCCAGGACACACAGTTCTCTGCCTGCCAGGCTTGTACACTCCTTCTGGTAAAGCAACTGAACAGAATTTGCTCCCAAAACATCAGTTTAAATTAGGAATGGCTCCATCAGTTGCAGGCTCACAGACTTGGGTACCGCATTACTTTGGATGTATGTACAGCTGAGAGGGCACTGTTAGAGGATTAACAGCCACATTGCTGAAGTACACAACTACGACAATGGTGACTTAGAGATGTGACCGAAACACATACACTGCATCACGCAAATAAAACCAAAACAAGCAATAAAACCCAAACCACAACATTCTCCTGGTGAATCAAATGATTTCCAGGGAGGGCAAAAGGAAGGGAAGGGTAACTGCTTTGACACCCTCCCACAGCTCGCTCCAGCCCACCCTGTCACGCTGTCTCTGACAATTTTTTTCTTTCCTTCTGCTTGTCCTGCAAAGTTCTCTCCAACCTTCCTGCTTCTCTTCAGTGTTTTCTCCTGCCTGCCCTCCTCCCCTTTTTTAGCCTTAAGCTCTCCCTTGTGTTTTCTTGAACATACTTGACACTGACCGAAAACAAAAATAACCATGTCCTCGTAGCTTATTTCTACCCCTGCTGAAATCACTGCAGATGGAAAGCAATTTACTGTCAACATTTGTACTTGCACAATATAGTCCATGCACAATATAGCATGCTCTTCCTTCTGAAGACTGGTCCTGAAGACATCTACTGTGGAATGTCCTCCTTTCTATAGTCCCATGTAGTACCTGTTTTTCACAGCTCTATGAAATCCTACTTGCCAGCATTAGCCACTGACCAGGGAGATCAGACTCAGCATATTCAAAACATCAATTTAAAACCATGCTCTGGCTATCACAGTTACAACAAAAAGCTTACCAAAGCAGACTTCTGTGATGCTGAAGCTATGGGGCAGCTGAAGCTGCTGCTGGCAGTAGTCCAACTGCACAGGGGGCTGCGTTCCCCCTTTCTTAGTGCAGCAGCGGAAACAAGTGAAGGAATGTTTTGTAGAGGATTTCGCAGGTCTGTCTCAGCTCAGTCCTCTGGGAAGGGCCTCTAGCTGAGCTCCAAAGATTGTTCCAGCAAGAGCAGCCCCAGTAACGCAGCTGGTATCAGGCTCAGAGCACATCAGCACTCCCTAAGCATCCTCCAGCTGCCAGTCCCTGCTGCAGGCAGCCTTTTCCCCACCTCCTACATGGCTTAGTAATACAAGGAACATCATCTGCATCAATAGTTTTCTCTTCCTCACAAAAAAGAAAGTTGCAGTACCAGGGAATGCTGCTATAGCACACCAGATCCCAATCCTCGCCCATGAGGCTCCCATGCAGGTCTCATCACAGAGGCCATAATAACCAGGACACAAAATTTGATGTGACTGACACCAGTGTCAATCTTGAGCTTCTGTTTCACACAACTGGAGACAGCCCAAGGATGAAGATCATGGAAATGGGGGCTGGCTAGAGGTGAAGCACCAGCTAGAGTGCTGAAAGAAAGATCACTTCTTTCTTTCAAACTTTTGGAGAACTTGGTGCTGCACAGCAAATACCAACAACCAAGCTTCAAGTGCAAAGCTCAGAATGACAGCACCAAGGCTCACACCAAGTCTGCTCAGGATTATCAGCGCTCTTCTCTCCCCCACCCCTCCGCCCCCGCCCCAGCAATTCCCCTGGGACCTTGATAGAAAAATCACAAATATCTGTGTCAGAAGTAGTAACAGGATGAAGTTATCCATTAGCTTAGCTTTTTTTTTAAAAAAAAACAACAACCAAACTACCTACAGTTAAATGAACTTGCAGCAAAATCAAAATGTCACATAGATACAGCTCAACCCAGAAAGCCTACAGAGACCAGCAATGCAAGTGGAACAGCTAAGAAGAAAAGACAACTGACACTTTGCCATCAGAAAAGCATTAAAAGTATCAGAGTAGATACCAAGCCAGCTCTTTAATCCATGAAGAAACTTACTTGAGCCTGAAAGATTAAGATAAACTCAATAGTTGCAGTTTTGAAAGCAGCAGCTGAAGCTGCTAGCCTGTGCTGGTATGCCATCCAAGTATTACTTTGAAGCTACTTCCTTTTCCTTTAGCTGTTTTCTTAAAACAAAATAGTAAAAATAAAACCTTCTAGCTGCTAAATGGCTGTAAAGGACAACCTCAGAGAGTGTGAACTTGGTCTAATCAATGCAGAAGGTATTCTGCAAAGCACAGAGGGAAAGCATGCAGGAGATGTCTGTACAAGCACAGGGTTAAGTAGCACACAGCACCATAAATATACGTTGTTATTTTTGCTAATGGTGGCCAAGTAAGAAATTTGCCTTAATTGGTAAGATTACAGAAAACTCTGTTTACAAACTAAAAATCTATCTGCTCAAACTATTTGCCTTGAATATCATTGAAAAACATACAGGTTTGGTCAATCATTTTGCCTGTTTAAAAAAAAAAAAAGTACACACTACTTTAGATGATCTGTTAACACTGGGCTACATTATTTTAGGTGCTTTGAACCTATTTTGTTATGCTTCTGAATTTCATTGTCAATTTGCTAACGCCCTTCCTTCTCTAAGGTACAAATCTACTGGGTGATTACTTCAAAAG